TGCTGCTAAAGGGATTTGCAGATATCCTTTACATAGGTCAGTGGTGGTCAGGTACTGACCACGAGCCATCCAATCTAATAGCTTATCTAAGCAGGACATGGGGTAAGCATTGGAGACATTTTCTTGTCCTTGAGCCTCAGGTAGTCTACGCAAAATCTAGTTGTCCCATTACGTTTTGGGACGAAGACCACCGGGGTGGCCCTAGAACTCTTAGATGCTTCTATTACCCCCAATCGGATGATCATACTCTCTATAACCTTCTCTGGTATTCGGTATAGGGTTTCTCATAGCGATTGTTGCTCTGGTGTTTCTTCTCTGTGGGTGGTCAGAGGGTGACCTCTGGTAGATTGGAGAAAGTCTCCCACTTCTCTGATCGCATCTTTTGGGCCTGCCTATGTTCTTCGCTGTTTTGCCGATCTCCTAGTTGGACCCTGTCTGGACTCCATTTTGTAGGAGATCAGGCAGTGGAAGATTGTCAAAATCTTCCGAGGCTGGAGCACAGATAGCGGCTACGTCCTCTGTCCGCTCATGGTAAGGATTCAGCGTGTTCTCAAGTAACAGGTGTCGGACACCTTCCCTGGAGCATGGGCCGATAACATAAGTAGTGTCACACTTCTGTTCCGCTAACCCGATATGGGCCCTGCTATGCGGCCAGTAGCCTATATGTCGAACGGGTTTTAGGACCAGAATCTTTTGTCTGATTTGATAGCAATGGCTCCCCAATCATACCATGTGCTCTGACGCTCCTGGGCCGACTGGGGGTTCCCATGTACTAAGTTCCTGCAGTCGGTCCCGAAGTTCCAGCGCATATAGAATATGAGGGGTCCCTTCCTGATCAACTTCTCTTTTACAGTGTTCTCTTTTGAGGTCTGAAGGTCCTCTTACCCTCTGTCCAATTAGTAACTCGAACAGGGAGATAGGTAGGAATTTTTCCCAGTCTTTGCAGGTCACTGTAAACCAAGCATGTCAAACTCAGTCTAGCACAGGCCACATAAACAAGGTTTAAGTTTATGTGGGCCGCAAAAACAATCTACCTTAAATTTTCATAGAAACACAAGTTTATTTTGAAAAGTACAGTATAAAAAAACGCCAGCATCCCCCTCTACTAAACCACAGCACCGCCCTCTACTAAATCCCAGTCTCCCCCATATACTGCCTTTTGTCACTGTATTGTTAGGTGACAAGCTGCCCTTTTGCCCCCGGCTGTTGGAGGAGCCTGACTGCCAGCCTCCTTACTCATGACCATGGCCTTGGGGTGTATTGCCATTTAAAAATACTCTTTTTGGTTCTTACTGGCTTCTAAAGACTGTTTTTGCCCATTTGAATCCGTGGGAAGGTGTGTCTCTTCCCCACCCCCGTTTCCTGCCTATTGTTCTCCAGCAGGGCGTTGTCCCAGGCACACTGCCAAACCAGTTGGAACTGACTGCTTTTGTCTCTCCTTGGTTTCTCAACAGCCCTTGCAATGCATTACCCCATGGCAAATTTACTCTGCTCATGGGATCTGAGCGCTGTTCACCTAGATTGGAGTTATCTGGGGATAGGTTAAATGTGGGGGTTATGTGTAAAATAATAAGAATTATGTATTTTATGTACTTTTACGTATTTTTGCTGTTAGTGTAAAATGTAGATATTTTCTGTACCTGGAGATAATTGAGTTTACTGCAGTGCCTTAAGCCAATTATCTCCAGGATGGAGAGGAGGGATTTCATTGTGTATGTGGGAGTGTTATTATGTTAATTAGTGTTCCCATTGGTTTGTGTCCCTTTTGTCACAGTTTACCACCAGGTCCAGGGGGTGTGCCTCTGGCCTGAAAACTTGTATATAAGGAGTAATAAATGCTCATTGTAGTCAGATCATCTTGTACCTTCATGAAGTTTCGGCTCATGTTTGGGGGATTGGAGAACTACACTCTGGGGATTGCTATAATCACTATACTTCCCAAGGTATGATAACTAAGCACTGCTAAGAGCTTGTTCCTGCTCTCTGGAATTCGGAGAGGTTGACTTACTGGAAGCTGGACCCTGGTGTTGGGTCCAGAGTGGGTGGAGACGGCGAGACCCCAACCAAGCTGCGGTGGTTCGTGGGAGTCTACAGGGGTTTTGGTGTCTGGCAGAGTGCTTGGAGTCCTCGGGAAGCACTAGAAGCATCCGTCAGCGGAAGGTACCCGGTCGGGGTGCATGCGGTTCCGTTACACTCAGTATTATTATACAGAGCAATATGTTTATCATCAGCATATAGATACTCAGTATTATAAAATACAACATGTTTATTATCAGTGTATAGATGCTCTGTATTCTTATACAGAGCAGCATGTTTATTATCAGTGTATAGATGCTCTGTATTCTTATACAGAGCAGCATGTTTATTATCAGTGTATAAATACTCTGTATTATTATACAGAGCAGCGTGTTTTAGTCTATAGATACTCAGTATTATTATGCAGAGCAACATGTTTATTTTCAGTCTATAGATACTCAATATTCTACAGAGTGACATGTTCACCAGTGTATAGATCAGTGCTTCCCAAACTGTGCGCTTCGGCACGTGGTACCGTGTATACAGGGCCACCGCAAAATGTACTTAGGACCACCAGATGGGTATTATTTATTTATTGTTTAACAGGCGCCGGTCGGGTGCAGCGGCACTTTAAATCCGTGACCAGGAGGAACTGACAGCCTATCTCTTCCATCTACTTACTGAGATCACCGAGTGGGAGGGAGGATGTGGCAGCACAATGGGCAGCCGTGGGGAGAGGAGCAACCAGAGAACTAATCCAGACCCCATACTCCCATAAACTTCATCCAGCAGCAGGGCCCCAAGCAAGCCACCTTACTGACCACTTAAGGTATGTTAACAGAAGGGTGGCTGCAAATACAAAACTTTTATATCATGTGTGTATCTGTGTGTCAGTGTGTTCATGTGCAAGTGTGTGTGTGTCAGTGTATGTATCTGTGAGTCATAGTGTGTGCATGTGTCTGTGTGTGTGTCAGGGTGCTTGTGTCAAGGTGTGCATTTATGTGTGTGCGTGTGTCGATGTCTATATAAATTTGTTTGTATGTGTCAGTATATGTATCTGTGTTAATGTGTATGAATAAATGTGTAAATATGTATGTAAATGTGTATGTATGTGCATACATTCCCGCAACCAAACACCAGCACTACTTACAAACACACCAATACTACATAATCCACATTTAGAAATGAAAATTTCGGAGGATGAAGCCTATCTGCAGAGCAGATGTGTGGTGCAGGGGATTCCAAATTATTTGCTGATTCTGGGGCGTTAACCTGAGTAAACTTGCAGCACCTCTTCTCTCATACCCCTCGGGTTGGGGGTACGCTCCTGCACATTTTGGTACCTCACTTGAAGCGGCAGTTTATCGGAGACCTGAGACATCCTGCTGCGGCCTACCAAAAACGTAACCGGGGAGAGGCGTACGATCTCTTTGGTCTCCTGTCATTCCCCCCAATGGAGCAGCACTCCTACCCCCCCTTTGGACCGGCAGTCCCCACTAAGCTGTGCAGATCCTGCTACCCTGCACTTACTCTAATGTGTACCGCAGGAATCGGCACATAACTGCTGAATGAGGCCTGAGCCTCCCCACAGCTCAACCGCAAACATCCTACACCGCCTGGACAAGCACTTATGTTCTTTCTGTGTCAGGATCCAGATGAACAGCGTAAGGAGGATCGTGTGGAAGTGGACTGACAATAAGAATGAGGCCTCCTCCAAATGCTCCTTAAACTCCAGCATCTTGCAGCAATGTCACTCAGCTTCCTAGTCCAAGAATCACCCGAGGCACAGTCTCATTGCATTCACCATGCTCCCTGAGGGTCTAGCGACGCCAGTGGATTGTACTACCTAGATCCTCCTCATGCCCCAGTGTAACGGATCACCTGGCACCTCTGTTGACGGACGCTTCCTAGCTGATGCCGAGGACCATAAGCACCACACCGGACACCACAATCTCCGTAGACTCCACAGCCGCTGTAGCTTAACGGGAGTCTCGCCGTCCTCCTTCCACCCTTAATCAACCTCTTACATCCAGGAGCGTGTGGGAAAAACCTCTCCTCCAAGAGAGCATATCAGGAACAGCTCTTAAAAGAGCTAAGCGACCAGAGCTCAGGGGAGTATACAAAGTATAACAATCCCCAGTGTGAATATAGCAGTTCCCTATAATAACGAAATGAGGCTACGTATTGAGGGTTAAGCAGGAAAAGAACTGACTGAGGCTTTATTTTATACACTTTTTCCCAGAAGGTTACCACCCACGTGGACCTTGATGGGCACTGCAAACACAAACTTAACAACCAGTCATTTACAGTTACACAGTTAAACACTCCCAATCATTACAGTAAATTCCTCCCCTCTGCTTGGGAGATAATTGAGTTAATTGCTGTATCAACTCCATTATCTCCAAGCGAAAAATATACTTTTTACACAATTTCTATTACATCAAAACTATACATTTAATTCCATTAAAACGTACATTTTCCGAACCAGCATAATTAGGGAACAAAACATATCCCCAAATCATGGAAATTGGTCCAGTGGTTCGGGAGATAGCTGGAAGTCTCATTTGACCGGTCTATTCACCATAGTTCAAACACTATTCAAATGCGAGAACGGGGGCCGTTCATGCAAATAGGCAATGTTAAGGTGGCGTTCGTATTGTAGAACACCGTTCGACTACTGTCGAAGTTCCCGGGAAGGTAAAAGTTCAGTTGTGTTTGTGCCATCGCGTATCTGATTTTAGTTCCGTGAACTCGACAACCAAACACCGCTGAACGCGTTCGACTGAATAAAAATGTCTGCCACCACGTGTTCTTCATACGAACGCCAACCACCCAGCCGTTTGCCAATTAAGCTGCGGTTAACAACAGCTTCTGGGTGGTTAACAAGCCACACACTCCACATGCAGGGTGGTCAGTCGTTCGGCAGTTTGTTCATCTGTTTGCACAATATTATCCTGGCAGTCCACGAATACATCAGGGAAAGTATAATATCCAAGCCAATAAGTAGAAATATGAATTCCAGGGCCATAAATGTCTTTAAAATTTCCTTAAAACCCAATAAGTCACAGGGGCCATAATCACAGGGCAAAAGGCTAGCCATTAGTCCTCTCCAAGAATAAGTGGCGAAGGGCACTTCGTCACACCCAGATAGGGAAAGATGTCGACAAGAGGGCCAGAATCTGTGGACTTCTGATGCAGTGTGACAGACCCATCCGTATGGACTAAAATTGCTGTGTTCGTCTGTTTTGCCATTTGCATGAATTTCCCTCATTCGTATGCCTTGATTAAGGGAATATATTTTTTTTGTCGAATAGAACTACCGAACGGACTGCCACCCAGAAGAGAAGTGTGCTGCTGGTTAACCTATTGATCCCAATTAGAATGTTGCGATTAACCACAGACACTTCTCAATTAAAACCGAATACAGGGTGGTCTTCGTTCGTATGTCGACCACGAGGCGGCGGCCATTTTAACTATGGGAAAGCCCAGCGGTGTTCGATTATTTCATGGAACTGAAGACGGACACTTTTTCAACCAAACACCGCTGAAGCTGTCGACCTCCCCTTCTCAATTGACAAAAACATACGAATACCGGCCGTTCGGGAGATTTAACAACACGAATGGACTTAACCCAGGTAGCCTTCCCATGGAGTCAATCGCATACCGAAGAACTGTAATAGACTTTGACTCCATGGCGATTGAACTGTGCGTATGGGATCTGAGCGCTATTCGCCAATAATATGCACTCAGATCCAGGCTATCTGGGGATGTGTTATACGAATGCAATACGTTCGGCAGTTATAAAGTTCTGGATTTTAATGTGTTTTGTAACTTTGAGTTAAAATGGTCGATTTGCCTCTGCTCTGGGAGATAATTGAATTACAGGGGAGGAAACTGTGATGCATGCTGGGAATATTGTGGGGATGTATGTCCAAAATGTCCCCATGTCCTTCTGTTATTTCAGTCTCCCATTTGGTCCCCTAGGGGAGTGTCCACCAAGTGGGAGACCTGCATAAATATGGGCAGGTAGCCCACAGTAAACTCAGTTCGTGTTTTACCCTCAAAGCGGAGCTTGGTCTCGTTATTGGGGGGATTTTATTACCGGCGACTAAAGACTGCTTATTGGGATTATTTGCCGCTTGGAAACTATTGCCGTTCGGCTGCTATTGGCGATTTGTGCGTTTGGAGCTCGTGAAGGGAAGGAGCCATACAGGTACCGTTCGGGAGTTTGGAGTGTTCCCTAGCTGGCGGTTCGCATGGTTATACTGCATACGCAACCAGACCACATTATTGCGAACGGGGAGCATTCACTAAACGGCGGTTTGTGCATTTACTACTGGAGGTACCGTAACACCTGAGATTTCCATTACTTGGCTGATCTTGGCTTCTAGCATATTGCATGAGCTAAGGGATTTTCCTGATTAGAGCAGACGTCATTTTCTTTAATTGCATATCAATTTATGTAATTAGTTTTTTTTGGGGTTTTCTTTCCTTTTTACCTTTTCTTTGAGAATAGCAGCCACAAAACAACTTGCAAAGTCCCAGTGGACCTTTCTATCTTGAGATTTCTTGCTATACCTATGGAGTTTCTCCTTGCATATATTCTTGCTGAAATGTCTTTACAAGCGTGTTTGTCTTACTTTAATTTCACAAAAAATGTGCTTGTTATTCATGACATGCCTCAGTCTTACTATGTTAGATATTATACGTTTGACAATGCTCTTGTGGCAATGTCAGCCTGCTTGTCACCCTATCCACAATAAAGAATGAAAAAAAAACTAACTGTGGCGAAACCAACCTCACCACTGTACACTGGAGAAGCCTGGTTGCTCGCCTGCTGCCTTTGGACTATGGCCCCCATGTTAAGACATCTTTTTCCCTGCAGAAAAGACTTATTCGTGCTTTTCTGCCGGGTGTTCGGTGGATTTGTTTGAGTATGTTGTGCCCCAGATAGGAATCCCATTGGGCCCATTCGCATGAAACTGACTGTGTAAAGACTTTGGCTCCATGGCGTTTAAACTGTATTCGTGTGGTCTGAGCGCCATTCGCTTAATAATGTGCGCTCAGACCTGAGCTATCTGGGGATATGTAGAACGTATATGTTTTATGTACTGAATGTAACTGTATGTAATTTTATGTCTTTTATTGTCCTTTGTCTGCCATGTGGTTAATGGAGTTTTGCCTCTGTCCTTGGAGATAATTTGTGTAACGGACCGTTTTGCACACAAGGGGTAAAAACCGTTTAGGCGATCGGCCCCCTTTCCAGAGATACAGGCACAGCTACTGCAGAACACCAAACTCCCAAACTGGATACAAAATAGCACTCCAACTCCCGAACTGGAACCTCCCAAATAGCTGCTAGCAGACGAACAGGAAAAGCAGACAATCAGCTTACACTCCTGGCAATCAGTCTCTAACAGCATACAGTGAATCCCCCCAAGAACGAGACAAGGCTTTGTGTTGAGGGTCAAGCAGTGGTCTGTTTAATGAGGGCTACTTGTCCAGTATTTATGCAGGTCTCCCACCTGGTGGACACTCCCCTAGGGGACCAAATGGGAGACTGTGACAAAAGACAGACAAGTAGACAAATAGGACACACAGTCACAATATATTCCCACAATGCATCCTGGCTTCCTCCCCTCTGCCCTGGGAGATAATTAGGAAGTAATTAAATTATCTCCCAAGACAAAGGCAAAACTCCATTACACATGTGGGGACACAAAACCAGTATTATACTTTAAAATACATAAAGTAACATTTATTACATAAAACCCAGACATGTAACATATCCCCAGATAGCTCAGGTCTGAGCGCACATTATTAAGCGAATGGCGCTCAGACCACACAAATACAGTTTAATCACCATGGAGCCAAAGTCTTTACAGTCAGTTTCATATGAATGGGCTCCATGGGATTCCTATCTGGGGTATAACACATTCAAACAAATCTACCAAACCCCAGGCAGAAAAGCACGAATGAAGCTTTTCTGCAGGTAAAAAAGATGTCTTCTAACAGGGGGCCATAGTCCAAAGGCAGCAGGCGAGCAACCAGGCTTCTCCAATGCAATGTGGTGAGATTGGTCTCGTCACAATTTGATTACTTCACAATTATCTCCAGGACAGAGAGGAGGAATTGTGATGTAATTGTGGGTGTGTTTTACGGTTCCCCTGTAACGATTGGTTGCACTTAGTGCTGAAATCTAAAACATTGCCGTTCCAGAGAACGGCAATGTTAACATTACAGCTCTAAGTCTGCCCTCAGTGGCCGTCTTTATGAGGGGTGGCAATGCCCTCTCATGCGCCCTATAGCTAAAACACAAACTAGCAACATTAATCTTGCTATTGCAGACCCATACGGGAGAGAAGTGATGCCCTTGGCTGATTAGTTGGCCTACATTCCACCTAGACCTATTCCCAAATTAGTGGTAGATGTCATACTGACGACACAATTACTGTACCACCATGGCTATAACAATTTTTTTCCCCTAACACCAAAGGTTTTAAATTCCCTGCACAAATTAAGGCTAGCCCTTGCTGAAGCTTAGAAAATGGAAACCACAATTGTTTTCTTTGAGGAAACCCATTTCCAGAGGGGTCATCAACCCATTCTGAAATATTCCCTATTAATTATCACACTTGCTATAGAACCAAAAAACGGAGAGTATCTATCCTAGTTCGTAAAGACGTCTCATTTTCACTAGTAAAAAAAAAATGTGACAAATGAGAGGTTTTTGCTAGTATAGTGTTATGTAAATAATAGGGGTGCACCGAAATGTTCGGCTGCCGAAAATGGGAGTATCCCTCTTTGGCTGAAAACGGGTCAAATTCGCCGAAAAGGGGCCCCTGTGCCCCCCCAAATGCTGGCAACTTGCTGGCCATGTGCTTAAATTATATTCCGTTGGACTGTAACAGTCTGTTACAGCCTAGGGAATGCAGTGCTGGGTATTGTCTGTCTGTGGAGAGATTGCTTGGGCAGGCTCCCCGGCAAGGCCCTGCCCCCAAACCAAGCCCCACCTCCTGTACACCTCCGCCGTTAAGGAGCTTGCTGCTGCTGGAAAAGCTAGACGATGGCTGTCTGACCACCCAGCCGCCAGTGACAGGTAGGCTTGGCAGGGCCGTCTTTAATATTGATTGGACCCTGGGCAAACATTTGCTTGGACCCTGTCGTCCCATCCCTGGCATGCAATCAAGCCCCCCACCCCAACGCAGAGGCGGACGTAGAGTAGAGAGGGCTCTGGTGCATGAATTATTTTGGGCAAGAGGGGGTAAAAGGTAGATCCCCATCTGTCATGCAACTCCAACAATGCTTTGACAGCTGGGGCGCTACCATTTTCCCATGCATGCAGGGTTGTATTTAGCACTGTGCAGTATTTGTGTGTTTGAGTGTAAGCATGTTTTTGTATGGAGTATGTTTGTGTGAATGTAGGGGTGTGTTTGTATGTGGAGATGGCATTTGAATGCAAGCATGCATTTATGTGTAGTGTTGGTTTATGAATGCACTGGTGTGTTAATATATAATTTTGTTGTTTAAAAAAAGAGGTGTGTTTATATGTAGTATTGAAGTTTGAATGCAGGTGTGTATTTGTGTGTAGTGTTGGCGTTTGAATGCTGAGATGTATGCACATATACACATGCACTGCCACAAACACAGACACACTGTGATACACATACACACACAGAAACACTTGCAGACACACAGATATACACAATCATACAGATGCAGCTATACAGACACATTTACACACACTGAAACACACACATACAGACACACAACCTGACACACATGCAGATACACTGACAACATACAGACACACAGATACATAACCTGACAAATGCAGATACAAACACTGACACACATGCAGATACACACATTGGCTACATACAGATGCATGCACAGGTATACACACTGGCACACACACAGATACATACATACTGACAACATACAGATACACACACACTGACACACACACAAACATATACTGACACACAGACACTGTGACAGACATACTGACACACACAGACATACATACTGACACATACACAGACAAACTGGCACACAGACATACTGACACACACAGACATACATACTGACATACTCACACAGAGAAATACATACTGACACACACACACAGACATACAAACTGACACACACAGACATACTGCCATACACACAGACATATATACTGACTGACACACAGACATACTGACACACAGACATACTGACACACACACACAGACATACTGACACACAGACAGACACTCTTCAGTTTCCTACCTTTGCAAGAGGCTTCCTTCCCTGGGGTCCAGTGTGCTGGCTGGGGTAGTTGGGAGTTGGGGCTCTCCTTGCTCCCCCTCCTCACTGGATCCTGGCTAGCAGCCTCCCGCGCTGCCCGATGTCTTTGAGGTGGGAGGAAGTGATTTGCGGACGTCACTTTCTCCCATGCAGCCGTTAAGCAAGGGTCCCGGTCGTGCTGTTAAAGGGCCACAGCGCCGATCGGACCCCTGCTGAAATATGCTCACCGGGTGGCCCTAAGTGCAATACCAGCACCGCGGTCCCATCATTTTTTTAACTTTTTTTTTTAATGCAGGCAGTGGGGCCCACAGGGGAGCTGCTCCCTAGGAGTAACTGGGCCCGGGGCAGCTGCCCCGTTTGCCCCGCGTTAAAGACGGCCGTGAGGCTTGGTATCTATGTGTGGGGACTCAGCAGTCTGTGTGTGTGTATGGACTCAGCAGTCTGTGTGTGTGTATGGACTCAGAAGCCTGTGTGTGTGTTTGTGTGTATGGACTTGGCTGTGTGTGTGTGGATGGACTCGGCAATCTGTGTGTGTGTATGTGGATGGACTCGGCAGTCTGTGTTTGTGTGGATGGACTCGGCAGTCTGTGTGTGTGTGTGTGTGGATGGACTCGGCAGTCTGTGTGTGT